AGAAACAATTTTTTCAAAATGAAACAGGGGTAGGCGGAACCCTGAGGTAACATTTATTTATTTATTTATTTATTTTAACCAGGTAATATAATGTACCAGGTAAGTCAGATTTAAGTCACCTGGCCATATTATTTAAAAGGACACAAGTTAAAAGCTGATTTTTTATCAGTTTTGCAACAGACATATTTTGCTATACGTTGAACCAATGATAAAACATGCTCCGTCGAATTGTGCATATTTGACATGCTAATAGACTGGTTCGATAAATTCATTTAAGCTGTTACTTGGTGGAAATAACAAATTGGGCACCCGTGACTTTTGGAACGAGCCAAGCAGCATTAATTTGAAAATTGGAAATAAGTGGTTATTTGTATGGTCCGACAATCCAGTTAAATGTTTGTCCTCATATAAGTGTTATTTAAAACTGCTGGATTGGTGCTCTTGGATCAGTATAATTTAATTTAAACCAATGATTAAATAAAAACCAAAAAAAACAAGCATCGTTTTTATTGTAACCGGTCAACTTATATTAATTGGCGTTGAACCTAGGCCCCTTAAATAATCTGGTCGAGGAGAACAACCTTGTTACAGGAACAGTGGGGGAGTTGCTGGGACTGAAAACGATTAGGCCTTCTATTAAATATCGAAGAAGCATATTGGGTGTCGTATCTGCTTACTATTTTATACACTTATGTGCAAAAGACCTTGTATAGACGCAAAAGCCCTTATTATTACAAGAAAATACTTTTCGAGAATGGAAATGGGGGGGGGGGTATTCGAAAGACCAACCGATTGAATTGGTTTCATGGCTAATCTCATCATTTTGTCAGTCTAAAGCTCGAGTCGTAGGCGGCTCAACCAATATGCCTGGTTGCTGCCTGTCGTATGTTTACCATATATTGTAGCAAATAGGATGCTTTAGAATATGTACAGCGATAATTAAAGTATGGAATATATGAAAAGATATAGGATCAGCCCTCCATTTTAAAAAATGTATTTTTTGTTTTTCTTGCAGAATCTGGTTTAATTTAAGGAAGAAAATGTTGTAGTTCTATATAACTATTACACCGTATTATCTCCTTAATAGAGTGAGAAACTTGGGTAGACAAAATAATGTTAGATTGAAAGTTTACTTCACCTGAAGTTGGGGGGAAAGTCATCAGTTTGAACAACTTCTTGACGTTGATTCGGATTCGAGCCAGTTGTCCTCTGTGCTATCGTCTTTTCTCATTTACAGCACTGACCAGTCTCTCAGTTTCGTCCGCACGTCGTTTGGGCATTTTGATCAAGAAAAACAACAAAATGTCTTATTATAAACAACCTAAAAACCTTGCCATGTTTTATAATATATGTTTATAGACCTACTATTGATAATTTGGAATAGTTATAACTGCATTTGGTTAATAGGATAAATTAGGATAGATAGTTATGACAGTACTGCATTTCGGATACATAGACCCACGTGGTTATTTTCTTTTTTTCGTTTATTTAAAATTCAATCAAAAGCAAGATTTACAAAAATATACATATAAAGAGCAATTCAATGGTTAACGTTTCTTATTTTTTAACTATTTATAATTTGGAATAATTGTAACTGCATTGTCCCTTTCGGATAAATAGGGCCACGTGGTTATTTTCTATTTTCGTTTATTTAAAATTCAATCAAAAGCGAGATTTATAAAGATTTAAATATAAAAATCTTCGATAGTTTAGGTTTTAAATTATAATTAAAATTTTACAACTTACATCCAAAATTAAAAAAACCTAGATTAAGATTTTAACAAAAATTTTAAAATATGATCAGCAGCTACCTTTCTCATGAGATCCAGAACGAAAAGGATGCAGCAGGCTCGCGCAGCTCCTTATATAGTGTTCTAAATATAGCTCTCAGACTGAGCATGTGTATTGATACGCAGTACAACTGATCGATAGATTAAGACATGTGTCATTCATGTAAAATAAAAGAGTTTAATCTTGAATGATTAAACATTGATATTATTTTGCTTGATTTTACATCCAGTGACGATAATTGTTTGTAAATGGATATATAAAGTCATAATATCATTTTCATGTAGGCATCCAGCACGGGACAATCTATCTATATGGCTATATAAAGCAATAGTATTATTCTAGAGTGGACAGCCATTGAGGGTTGGTCTATGTATATGGCTATCAAACAAGAGTTTGCCTTGTAAATGGGTATATATAAAGACAAAATATCATTCTTGACTGGTTTTTTATTTTTGAAATGCTTATATTGTTTAAATGTTACGTTTATGCTTCAATTATTATAAAATAATCCAACAGTACAATATGCATGTTATCTCAAATTACGACATACTCGTATAAAGGTTTACAATGGTCAGCAGTGTATATACAGTGCATTACTGTTGGATTATTTTATAATAATTGAAGCATAAACGTAAAATTTAAAAAAAAATAAGCATTTTAAAAATCTTCAGAGCAACAATATTAATATTGATAACAAGTGAAAAATATTGCAAGGAAAGAAAAGCATAATATACCACTCTTATATGTGTTAAAGTTTATTTTTTCTAGGAAGATGTTAAATGTACGAATGTGTACTTTTTTACCATAAATTGTAGCGACAATTCAATTCTTTCTTCCTGGGGGTGGGGGGGGTCTTTATATCCGTGTAACATTTTCACTGTACTTATTTTAAGATTTCTTTAAATCATCACTCAACCAAAACAATTTCTTTCACTAATTGAGTATTTCGGAAATTTAAATTTTCAATTGTTTTCTTATTATTTGTCAAGATTTCAAGGATCAAAAATTAGTCACGTATTGTTTGCTTATTGATAGTCATCTATACATGATGTGGTTTAATTGTTGGTCCAATATTTACTTCCTGTATATTAATTGAGTATCATCTATAGATGAACTGTTAGTGGCTTAAGATATATAGAAATCATTAATTGTATATGCTCAAATATAAGTTACCGAAAAAAAGATTTACAGTTTTAAAGACATATTGATAAACTATTCACATTTTACTTTGATTGCAACTAATCCTTGATATTGAAATATTTCATTTTATTTAAATTTTAAAATTCTAATCTAAAACTCGCTTATAGTTCCATATGATATTTGCATTCAGTTAATACTGTACATCGGTCTTGATCATAGCCGATGTAACTTTTAAAATGACCCCATAGAATTCTTCTCTAACCTTAAAAGAATCGCATATTTTTAAAATCATTTTTACGTTCGCCATAATGACATTTCTGCCTTACAATACAGTCATGTTACTATAATGTTAACTGCTGTCGAATGTTATTTTTTGCAATGAATGCCCTACGCAAATAAGCTTTTGTTAGTCCATACACTTTAATGTGTCATTGATTGTACAAAAAGGTCATTTGCTTAAGAAAGAAAAAGAGAATATCTGAGTCGCACAAAAGTGAAAGAAAGTTGTACCTGTTTATGAATACTGACTTCCAGTGCAATATATTTTCTTAATATTTCGATCATTACAACGTCGGTCTTGAAAAATACATTAATACACTTTTCTTAGAATTTAAGTACATGTAATATATAACGCCTCTTTAGAAATGTAGCTATACCGACTTCGGTTGATTTTGGTTTTCCCTACCTCCTCATCAAGAGAACATACTGGTTTCATATGTATACCAGGTGTGCAGTGTAATGTAAGCATTCTGAAACTGGAAACGGTGATCTGGTCCGAAATTTAAAAAGAAAATGTTCACAGTTTAAAAAAAATGATGCAACTGACGGTAAATATTTCATTTTCTGGGTAGTTAAAAGGCGATTGAAGCATGGAAAAGGACTACGTCTAATTACCTTGATGAAAGTGGTGTCAACAATTTTATTTTATTTTAATATTCATTTTTGTGACCAATATGATACTCAAATATACCCCAAAAATTAGGCAAAGTGATGAAATCGATAGCCTAATAGTTTGAATCGTCAGTCAAAATAAGAACAAACAGGAGTTGCAGTCGAATGACAAATCCCTAGCCGTTGTCACTTGTAGACAATGCTATTACTCTTTATATAGATCAAATCAATTTTTATCCTCCTGCAGACTGAAGCTAGATTTCGGTTATAATACATGTAGCTATCCCCGAAAGTTTGAAACAATTATGTCCAATAGTAGTGAAAAAGATTCGGTTAAATTGTTGCACGGACGCACGGACACACGCACGAGCAAGTAACATTACCATATTTCTTATCCTAGGATAATTATATTGACATTGTTTTTTGAAAGAGTGAAAGAGAACTGGCTCCTAATTCGACGCTGGCGGGAAATTCGCCAATGTAGTGAATTTTTAATATCAGTCTTACAAGATCAATCATACTAAACTCAGAGCTAACTCGTTCCATGAACATGTTCCATATATTGTTTACTTTAAATTGACAAAAACCTATGTCAGAGTCTGATCGTAGTTCAAAGTTAGCTAGAATTTGAATTTCGACCTACTTATATAGAGCTCAAAACATTTTGTAGGCTGTGAGTTAGCGAAGTACCTCCGTGTAAATACATGAATAATGTATTCCGATAAAACTTTGTGTAAGTGTTATATTTTTGTTAAAATATGTTATCTAAATAAGGTAATAACGATAAAAGCAAAGAACGTGACAATATAAATCGTCTATCATATATTGGTTTATAATTTTGAACATCTAATTCGATTTCCATGCGTGCATGCGTACGAACATGTGTGCGTGTGTGCTTATGTTTGTAAGTACATCCTAATTTTGTCGAACTGAGTGCGATTGAGATCTTTAACAGTGTATAGCCGAAAACAAGCTTAATTCACCTTATTTCGTATTATCGGAAAAGGACAACAAACATAAAGTTATATAAATCATCCAGCGTCATTAAATGATGTTTTTTAAATTACCATATTTATACATTCGGAACACTTGGCTGATTTCCGATAATATTGCCGGTCACAGGAAATACTAAATCAAGTAGTTTTACCACTTCACTTGAAACAATGAAACATTTGAAATAGTGTATAATATTATTATAATGCAAATTAAACTATCTTATCTCAAAAGTAACGATATGTGAGACAAGCGAAGAAGGGGAAACATGGCAGTAGACGGTCGTAAAATAAGACAATCTTTGTATCAAGGTTCGGACATAGAACATGATTTTCCGTGTTTACCTTGTACTAAAGAAGAAAAGAATGTAACCGCTATCAAACACTGTGTGGAATGTGACGAAAACCTTTGTCAAAAATGTGTTGGTGATCACAATAAATTTTCGGCAATGAGAAGTCACCAGTTACTTGACACGGTGAAACAACCGAGCGGGAAAAAGCAAGAATTACCAAGTCAAAGATGCGAAAAACATGGAGGAAAATTGATAGATGACTACTGCCCTGGTCATGATAAGGTTGGCTGCTCAACTTGTATGACTGTTGAACACAGGTAGGAAAGTTAACTCTACTTTCGGTTTCAATGACAAACAAATGGAGATGTCATTCAAAATTCAGTTTAAATTAATAATAATTGATGAGGGGGAAAAAAACTAACACTTGTCAGTGATTCATTGCATTTTAAAAATATTGCATGTAGGTCTAGCGGCTTTTTTACCTTTTTTTATTATTTCATAATATTTTATTGGATAAGGTGTACAGTACGTAGGGTGAAACATTGAATTTTGACCCCCGTTGAAAATTAACAACATGGATCATTTTTTAATGTTGAGAACTTAAACTTGGGTCATTTTTCAACGCTCAGAAGTGACCCTACCAGCATTTCAACATTCGGTTTGATCAAACAGTCGTCGAGAAATAATCAATCCTTAAATTTTTATCAGATTAGAGTCAATTTTAACGGTGAGTTATATTTTAGTTAAATGTCTCTTTTAAGTAGAGAAACAGAATCTCTCACGGGCGTCATGAAAATGATTATACAAGCATAACATGATCAAGCCTGTCACATGCGACCTATTAGTACTTCCTCAAGAAAGGCAATATAATTTGTATGTTGGACAGTGAACTGTTTTACGAAAGTTGAAGACCATGGTTTCCAACAGATGGATCTATGTGGTCCGAGTCCTACATAGGAAGGATCTTTTCAAGTTTTTAAACCATGATAATAGGTATTTACGAACTAGTATAATCAAATGTTGAATTGAAATATAATATCTATAGCTAGCCATGGTTTTAAGAAATACTCTCTTAAAATTGTGTTAAAGGAACTGAGGTTTATAAGCCTAAAAACATAAAATTTTAATTTTTCACATAGATAAACATGAGCACTTAAAACAGAAATATAAATAAAATATAACAAAGAAAGATACAAGAAATACCTTGACAATCATATGTTTGTGCTATTGTCAGTCCGATTTGAGTGAAAAGCTTTTAAACGCTTTTCAATTTTGGGTCATTTTTCACTATTATAATTATTCTGGAAAAACGGAGGGAGCTTATGATCTGAAATTTTGCACATACGTTATTAGTAAAGATCTACATCAACTGGAGTAATAATCTCAAAAAATTATTTCCAGTCCCGTCATGTCAAAAAACCTCAGTGGAGTCCCTTTAAGAACGATTTTATCTTCCATATGGTGTTTCTAAACAAACCGATCTATACCCAATAATGAATTAATATCTTCCCAAGCTAAAAAACTGTTAGTTTTACATTGCGACAATATTTAGACCTAAGGGGATAACATTTGTGCACTTTGTTCTCATAATAGTTTTTTCGTCTGCTTAACCAATCTTCTCGCACCTTGCTAACTTTCTGTACGTATCAGGGGATGAAACCGTTGGAGAAACACTAAACTTCTCGCAGCGGTTCCTTCCCCTGAGCAGTAAAAAATGAACTGTAATACGAATGCAGATTGAAATATAACACGGCCGATTAAAAGATAACACGACTGTTGTAAATCCTTTATAATAGAGGTAGATGGATTTTAATTAGTGTGTTATCTTTTCAACTTTAACAATATTATGAGGAAACCATTTAAATAAAAGTGAAAACAATACATTACCCTGCATGCAGTGTCATATCATAGTTCACCAAATAAGTACCATATATCTGTGTTGATGGATTTTAAATTGTTATAAGCTCACGGACCTTTTGAACTAAAATGAATAAATATTTCATCACTTAAAGGTCTGAAAGGAATACAGATTTATTACTGTTTTATGTGTATGACTATAAGTAGCAATGTTTGAAAATATTATTTTTGATTTATAATACTTATCAATGATGATGTCATATTTGGTCAGTTTTAAGCGAGGGTCATTTAATCACGCGTCGGTGTTTCAAAGTTGAAAATTGATCAAAATCCGTTGAAAAATGACACACCCGCATATTTTATTAAGTAACCCATTATAAAATGACCACCGCAGGCAAATACCTTGCGTATATATTTTTTCTTGAATACATTTCTAAATCACAAACATAGATGTACGTAGATAGAATGTTTTAAAACCTGTCTTTACAAAAAAGAAGATTTTCCCCTGGAATCATTGTGTGTACATGCATATGCGTTTAACAAAGAGATAATGCGCGGACTCTTTTATTAATAAAACAAAATAAAATATAATGAAATGTTTCACAAGTAATGACAGAAAATAATTTTTGGTCCGGTATTTTTCCGACGCATGCATAGTTAATACCATAACAAAAGGGATGTATTTGCGTGGGACGGGCATTTGATGGGTTACTCACAATAAGGTTCTACTGTACACATTATCAAAATTCGCCCCATTAAAGCAAAAAGGTACCAAGCGACAATTTGGCCAAAAATGACTTTTTAATGTTTTAATGATGTCTTTAATCTGTAGAAATATCTCTGAAGTATCATGTTTATTTACAGACATATAAGGTAATGTAAAAAGGTACAATGTCAATATTTTCCCATTTAGTAATGCAAAAAGGTACCGTATGTATACCAGTTTGAGCAGAAAGGTACCAAGCGTCACATGGTACCTTTTTGCATTGAACGACTATGTAAGTTTTGAGCACTTATTTTTATGCAAAAAGGAACCATGTGTCACATGGTCCCTTTCTGCATACAAATAATTTACGACTCTTAGGATTATTTTATATATTAAATTGTTTGCTTGGTACCTTTTAGCTTTTTAATTAATACACAATCTAGATGTTGATAAGGACATCAAATATAACAATATATCCCAAATTATTGTTTCTGTTTTAAATTGAGGTATGATAACAGTGTGAAGATTATGATAGTGTATAAATGACTTCTTCACAAAAACGTGGACGTTAAAAGAAAAGTAATTGACTATACTCTTGTCAACAAGATACATGGGTTATATGGAAGGAGAAGCATGACAGGGAAGCGTTCATCTGCAAATATACTAGATTATGATACAGTAAAATTGGTGAAACAGCATAAAGAGTAATTTCCTAAAATGAAATCTCATTATACAAGAACAAAAACTGAAAGAAACAATACCTATCTCATGACTGTGACTAAACATTACAAAGATGTGGAAATTGTAAACTATTGAATTTGAAAAAAGGAAATAAAACCTGTTAAGCAACATACGTATAGGAAGGCAGTAGGCACACTAGATGGCACGATCGAGGAACAATATATTGAACATCAAAAACAGAAAGAAAATTCGCAAGAAGTAAAGGTTAAAATAAAGTTGGAGCAAAAGGTGACACATGCGTTTATGTTGCATGTTTTGACCTCAAGGCCGTTGTAACAATCCCAAGGTTGCTCATTAGTGAGTGAGCTTTACTATTCAAAAAAACTCTTGCTACACAACTTGACAGTATATTCCTCATGAGACAAAAATGTTGTTTGTCATGTATGGGATAAAACCAACTGCAAAGAGAGGCATGTGAAATAGCTTCTTGTTTAATAAAAGCCCTTTTTACTTGCCAGAGTGGTAATGTCAAATAAGTCATATTTTTTCAGATTCATACGTGGGACAAAACAGAAATTGATTCGCAGCTGCGTCTCTTCTTTTATATTATCACAAGTTCCAAGTTTAAGATTGGTCATCACAAATTTCTTGTATCGGGTCACTTACAGATGGAGTGAAAACTTGACCTTTGAAGGGGCAAAGAAAATAATTCCTGTATAACTATGTATCATTCAGTTGTGTTCTCTTATATCACTGGCCAGCAAATCACAGCCAAACATTGCTGTGCCAATGAAATATAACTATGTTTTTTATTTTAAATATTTAATAAAAAACAGTGTCCGAGATTCAAAACACCCATTGACGGACAAAGAGTAAACTGGCTACAGGTGAAATGGATACAGGTACCAAAGGAAAGCCCAAAGTCAGTTTTTGTAAATAACAGCTTCAATGCTGAAGATTTTATGGAAATTGAAGTTCAGAATACAAAATCTAGACAGAAAGAAAGTATCAGTGGACAAATGGATATGAAGTTATGATACCAAAACCTACAGTTTCTTTTCAAAAGTAAAATGACTTGGTTACTTTGTGTGCAAAGAAAATTATCCCAAAAGAGTTTCATAATTATAATGCCACTTAAAAACATACTGAAAAGAAAAGGGTTATGTCACGATGGAATCGGATGAGAATAATTCTGATTTTGACTAACAATGTAGAAGATTTTGACATAGGCTTTGAGATTGATCACAGTGGAAGACTTTCAAAACATGCAGTTTGATACTTGTATCAAACATTTACTAAAAACACAAGAATTTCGTATTTTTATTTGCATCATTGTAGAATAAAACTGTAACCAAATGATGCTTTTTGTTAATATTGTTGGGACAAAAAGTTGCCAACTGCCACATGGTCCCTTTTTATGATATATTCAACATCAAATAATAAAAATCATACAATGCAAAAAGGGGCCAAGCGATCATATGGTACCTTCTTGCTTTTGGTCAAAATATTTTTTTAGTGAAAAAAAGGGAACCCCATTCCTTTAATTGTTTAATTTACACTAATAGTAAATATAAGCTTCCAATTTTTGAGCTGACATTAAAATATTATCTAAAAATGTTAAGTTTCTTTCCATGTTGAAAAAACCTTTATATAGAACTTAAATTTTAAAAACGCTTTTTCTGAAACTGAAAATTCACTTGGTCCTTTTGCTTTAATGGGGCAAAATACCTGAAAAAGTAGTGTCACTTTTTTCCCCACGGGTGGGCTAAAAATAATGGGCAAGATCTTTTTCAATTTTTTAAATTAGTATTGTACGGTCAGCTTTTTTAAACCCAAAAAAGGTTCGCCGTTCCAATTTCTCGAGGTGAAACGAAAATGCATTTTTTTTAAATTTTTTTAAATTTTTTTTCCCTTTTTATTTCAAAACAGTCGAGGGTAAGTACAAGGTCTAAATAAAATATCGCCGTCTCCTGCCCACAAAAATCACTGCTACACATAATTTATTTTTGCCAAACAGTTTCAATGAGAATCTGTAACATTTAGCATTGTAAACATACGAACTGGGATACATGTTGATGATACTTTGACAACATGATTTCGCCTTAAAACAGATGCTTACGCTGCACAATTTCTTATTATGTTAAATAGAAAAATATTTTGCATGAAAAAATACTTTCATAGACAGACCTACCACAGAAGCAACGTTTTTTTTTTTACTTGTTGAAACAAAAAAATAAGATTACATTTAAATATTAAACTTCCGAGAGATTAATTTTATCCAGAACTTTTAATAGCCGTACAAGTATAACAGAATAGAACAGACACGGGGTGAATGATTATAAAGATTTTTTACCAGATTTGACAGAGTCCATTAACACCATACAATATAGAGGATATTTGTTTGTTTGTGTGTAAGATGAAATTTTATTTCATCGAGTGGGCTTTAAAAACAGTATTCTCACGAGTGGCGTAGCCACGAGTGAGAATACTGTTTTTAAAGTTCACGAGATGAAATAAAATTACATCTTCCACAACAAACAAACAAATTTTCTTTTTATTTTATGCTTAAAAACAAGTTAAACGAAATTTTCCATAATATTAACGTTAATATTAAAATCTGTTTTCCCCATTGAGAGCCCATTTAGTCGGAATTTCTCATTAAAAAACAAGAAGTCTTGAGCTGAAAAATAAGTTCCGACAATCGACGTTAAATGATGGTAATATTATTCATTTTATCAAAAAAATATGAATGATCGCTTGTTTCAAAAATAAAAACAAACAATTCTTGTAGGAGAAAACGTCCAACCATCCATCCATATTTCTGTTACTTACTGCGAATTTATATTAGACCTGGCTTTGTAAAATGTAAGCGGCAGCCATTTTTTTTAAAGTTTTGTATTTCACGGGAGGAAAATGATTGTGTTTGATTCAGAGGAATATCATTGGATTTGTTAGTCCTACACCTTTTTAAAAGAAAGAAAACTTATTTGAGGATTGTAACAGACAAAAAATAAGTGTTGACAGATATGAAAACATTCAGAAAAGGAGCTAGAATATTGAAAACTTGGAAGCTTGCTCAAGAACGCTGGGTTGTTTTACTTATTCTTCGAGTGATGGCTGTCAATGCTTTTCAATTTTTCATAAAGCATACGGCAGTTATTGCTCGTAGGATACTTTAATATGCCTAAAGAGTAGTTTTGCATGGGTAAGAACGTATTTTCAGACTGTAAAAATGAAACAAAAAAAATTAGAGACAAATTTTGGTGATTGGAATTTGAATGAATAGAAGTAAGTTTTTTTCTTTTTTATTACTTTTGACATTTAAGTTATTTATCAATTTCAGCTTTGCTTTTTCTTTAAACAGCCTGAGATTGTCAGAATTGTCAGCAAAAATAAAATTGAGGTACCACATGGGGAAAATCAAAAAAAAGTAGTTTCGTCATTGAAAAGAGTGAAATGAAATTATATTTGATAATTTTCACTGTGAAATTATCAAATATAATTTTCACCGATAAATCAGTAATCCACTGAAAAGCATAAAAAAAATTAGTTATTATGTCAACATTTATCATGATTATCACACGAATCAGTTACATTCATGATAAACTTTATTAGAATCACAGTCTGCTAGCTTATAACAATAATTTTTCTCTCGCCGCTGTTTAAGATATCATTTGGTATAAGTAGTCGGTCACTAACAGTGAGATTGGTAATGACTGGTTATCCAGGAAAGCCGGTTAGCGGATCAATCGCCCAGATATGAAAAAACAATTGTTAAATCGGCGTAAAATCTACAAATACAAACAATCAAACATAAATCCGCAGTGTAATGTTATGATATTGAATTTTGTAAACCATGATGATATTTAGGCACACGTGTGTTGTTTTTTATTACAAGATTACATTACACAAATATATTCATTCTTCATTTTTGCAACAAAATTTTAAGTAACCAATTGTTTTTAGTGAATATGATGAATATACCTCAACGCGAGTGAAAAAGTGGGTACGCTCTTACCTCACTGTGAGAAACATTAAATGTACATAATTTTGAAGAATAAAAAACAACTTTAATAATGGATAATATTTAAATGATTTTATTGAAAAAGCGGAACAAAGACAGTTGAATTAATGTAACGCCGTCAACGGCTGTAACGCCCAATTGCGCAAACATTATATAATATTATTTAGAATATCACATTTTCATCATCATATAGTAACAAACAATTTTACAATTTTAGTGAAATGATAATAATGTATTTCAATAAAACGTATCAAATCAAGAAGGTAGTTTGCCACACCAACAAACATTGGGCAAAGCTTAACCAGAAAAAGTGTTTTTTTATATTTATTTCATGCTGACTAAAGTCAGTTTTCACTGATAAACATTACATAGTTACAGTAGTAAAATGCATTGAAAAGAAATTACATTGTATTCCCATAAAACTGTCAACATTGCTATTTTATTGTTTATGGTCATTGCAGTGGCTGTAAAGACATTACCTTCATACCTGAACCTAGCATGTAAAACTGGCACCACTCAGGCAATAAAGATCCTCGAAACCGAAATAAACACACACTAGAATCCCGCTTCTCCATGACGTTAAACAAAACAAAGCAAAAGAACTGGAAGTGCAAGGAAAAAAAAAATTGCAATTGATTCAAGAAATAAAATCAGAAAGGAAAAAATATCAACGACCGTTGACAAGATGGAAATGGAACTTCTCAAGAAGTCGATGCGAACTTTTCAGATCAAATGCAACATCTAGAGTCAAGCATGAAGAAAGTTGATGACGCGGATTGCTATACTAGAAAAAAGTCTTCAGAAGATAACTACTGCTAAACATGAAAACGAATCAGAAAAATATGTACAGATACAACTGTTCAAAGAAAAATATCAAAATACTATCGATTGTTAAAAGAATCAAAAAAGGGCAAACGAGACAGGCAAATTAAGGTTTGATCCATATCGACGTGGGACAGATTCGAAAATGCAACACTGTTGGAAACATACTTCATCTCCCAGCCATTGAAGTAGGAAAATGTACTGAATTTAATGTACGGATAGCAGATGACAAGAAGAAGAGCAATATAATTGAAATGTGGTATGTGTGAAGACGGTTGTATTGTTATGACTGATTACAACAACAAGAGGATTAAGAAAATGAATGAATCATTCCAGGTCGTATATTCACTCAATGTCGCTGACAACCCTTATGGGATTTGCCAAAGTGGGAACGTCATTGCTTGCCGTTACACTGATTAATGATAGAAAAGTTCAGTTTATCTCTCAAAAGGATACAATGGAGTTGCAACAGTCGTTCAAAGTCGTGATAGATGTCGGGGTATTTGCTTACAATGACGGGATGATCTATGTTTGTTGTGGCGGATCAGAAAAACGTAAAGAAGTGTTGGTCATATTGAGTATATTCACTTACTGGAAAAATGGTAACATCATACTATGGTGAGATAAAATGTCCTGTAGGTGTAGCATTCCCGATTTCGACAGTGGATATTTTTGTGAGTGACGCGTATAAAGGTATCTTTCTCATAGACAAAACGCGAGGCATGACAAACATTAATGTAGATAACAACGTATTCTCTCATGCTGAAGGTATCTGTAAGATAAACAAGAGTCAGTTCTGTGTTGCTTTTAATTTATCACACAATGTTCTTTTGATGTCACATGACGGGAAGGATCGAGTAGAACTATTGACAGGAAAAAATGGTATAAAAAATCCTATAGGTCTATGTTTCGATTACAAAAGGTCTAGGCTTCTTGTCTCCAGCGATACAAGTGACAAAATAATGGTTTATACTTTAAAAGTAACTAATTAATTTGTCTTTAAGGAAAACAAACGGTGTGATGTTAGAGTGTTTTCGAGTTGAAATTTGATCAAATTAACCGTTTGTGAAATATGGAAGGTATGTGTCACTGAAAATTTTTGTCTGGTGAAAAAAAATGTTTTAACACTCTGCTGCAAAAATATAGTTGATGATAAGATAAATATTAATTTCAATTATCTGATCGGTGTTTTGCAGTCGTTTTGTATGCTTTATATCTAATTCATTCTTTTTAATTGAAAATGTTCAGGTAATTTATTGGATGATTTCCGATACAGAGCATAGAGACTATCAATCGCATCATCTCGGTCCTCTTCCGTCAAACTTCGGACAAGTTATTAAGAATAATAGCCGAGGTGCTCCGATTTAGAGACTACGTAGTATTTATCAAAAACATTCTCTGATGTTTGCTTAGTTTTTTATTGGTTCTCAAATGTTTACTGGTACTTGATGAAGTTCAGTGCTGAAACAGCACTTTCTGAAAAAAGAGTACTGTTTTCAGCTTTTGAAAATATTACAGGGATCATGGACAAAAATTAGAATATTATTGTTAAAAGGAATTTATTATGTACCAATAAAGTTATATCTGTGATTAAAGTGTTCTTGAAATGATACAAATATTTGTCACTTCATAAATGAAAAGTAGAAAGTAAAACAAACATCAAGGAATTTTAAAAAGTTAATAAATGCATTTAGCAAATTAAGAAAACTACCTTATTGCAGTTTTTTGTGTAAATCAATTATTAAACTATAATAATGTACATTGTTAAAGGCTGTGTTTGTAAAATAATTTCATTGACAAATACTTTCGAGCTTGTTTCCATATTGGACTTTTTGTTGATGGTGCATTTGAGTTTTTAGGAAATTCTGAAAATGTTGGCGTACTAACTTGAAAAGGGAAAATGGACGACAACCGGTTGTTCCGAGTCTGTATGTTATGCTTTGAAATAAGTAGCATCAAGAGGATGTTAAAGTCATATTCAATATGAGTACAAAGTTTTCAAAATATAATTTATTTGTTGAAAATTTATGTCAGGAAAGGCTTATCAAAACAAGTTGCATATAAAATATTGAGATATAATGCCAAACAAACATGTATTGTTTTGTGTGTTTTTTTTCTGCAGACCTCATTTGTCTAATTGTTGTCGCAAATGTTACATTGGTATATTTTTATATTGTAATATACATATTTTTATATCTTATGTACAATTTCCTGTAAAATAAAAGTTATTATTAACATTATATTAAATTATGATATTAACATGATCATTAAAAGAACACTATTTTATTTGCTATTTCTTCAAATTCACAATTGTTTTGTATATAAATATTTAAATAAAATGTTACTTTTTATTATGAAAATATGATATTTGACTTACATATAAATATAAAAATAACAAAAAAAAAAAGATAACTGGATTAGTGCTATTTAAATTGACGTTTCAAATTATGATACCTTAAACAAAGTGACCCGAAGCTCCAACAAAGCTTAGAAGACCATTGTATTTACACACCAAATATGAAAAAAATCATTTGATAGATAAATGCTGTAAAACCATAAGTGTAAAAAACCTATTTTTAGTACAGTTACCTTGAACTTGACTGGACTAAGTGATCCTAAGCTCCATTCAAACTTAGGAACAATGCAGATATAAAAAACTTCAGTTAATGAATAAAGACTATATGAGAGAAATGAAGAATGAATTTTAAGCACTGGTGGCCTTAACCCTAATGATCCTCAATCTCTACACAAAGGCATATTCTTACCAAATATTGAAAACATCAAATATTAAATAAAGGCTTAATGACATAAAGTGTATACATTTTCAATATCATGCCTTCAAGCTTGTTGTATTGCCTAAGAGACCAAAACCTTTCTAATTCTTATAATAGCTTTAGATCTATTGGCGTAAATGACAATATTTTGTGTTAAGTAAGAATTATCTTTGAATGTCATATGCGGCATTCTAGCATTACTGTTAAAAGTTGTCCCTTCTGCATCTATTCAGGTACGATTTAAAAAAAAAACAACCTGAAACAACACTTCGGACTTGTAAAACAGATTAAAATAATACATAGATGTAGCTTCTAGATAGATAGAGGATATTTGTTTGTTTTGCATGTAAGATTGAAATATAATTTCACTGAGTGAACACCAGATGTAATATTTTCACGAGTGGCGTAGCCACGAGTGAAAATATAATAGCTGGTGTTCACGAATGAAATATATTTCAATCTTATATGTAAAACAAATAAATTTTCTTTTTATTTCATGCTTTTTAATTGATTTTAAGTATATTTTTACTAATTTTGCCGCGTAACGTCACGCATTCTCCTTTGTGACGTCATCACATCATGACGTCACATCATCAATTTTGAAATATAGGTCTGTTAAATTTCTCTTATTTTGTTACATTTTAGCATGATGTATGATGGCATCGACTTTCTTTTCCTAAAGAAGCAAAATTTACGCATGACGGCATTTATTTCTACCTGTTATTCCATTTAGTTATGATTTTCTTTTCATCCGCATTCAGATATAGTCCGGCTACAGTGAAAATTATATTTTATAAATTTCACTAGTGGTTTATCAGAATATAATCATCTGATATATTACAATAAAACACTGGAAAGCATGAAATAAATGTTTCTAAATTCAAAGTTTTTACTATTTCATGTTTAAATGTTGAATTCTGCTTAAGCCGGTGCTAGGGGGCGTGGATGGTAACTTGCACTTTCCAGTACCGTCCATGAACAGGCTCAATCAAACCGAGCCTGCAACATTTTCAATTTTGACGTGTTGGGCTTTTTTTAGGGATTTTGTTTTTATCTATTTTGTGATAATATGACCATATTAGTTGAATGCATTTAGCAAGTAACTTACTGCAACAGAAAGTGAATTGTTTTTTGCCACAAGCAAAGCTAGTGCCAAACAAACCAGCATCCGTGCAGTCTGATAGGGCTAAATATAGTTTATTTTAAACATATTTGTTTTAGCCCGATTGCAAAGCAAGTTCTTGAACTTATAATAATGATTTTCGAGTTCGCTTCCTAAACCTAATTAGTACTGGTGTCATATGAGGAGTCATGCTCGCGACTCGAGTAGTAGGAATCGAACCATGATCCTTTAGTGGAGAGGCAGATACCTAAACCACTAGGCTACCGCTTCGCTGTGGCTGTATATTGTTGGAAGCGCAATTTTTGTATTTGTTGTAAACATAAACTGTTCCAAACTCAAATGCAGAGCAAATCAATTACACTTACATAAACGATTGTTTGTTAACAAATTTAAAACAATAAAGATGTCATAGTTTTGAGATTTTATACATGTAAACAACATACATGTATACAAACAATTATCACAATATGATAGAATACACAATCTTAAATTGAAAAGGTAACATGCAAAAAATGCCATAAATATATATGCCATAACGTATATACCTTAGGATTTGCATAAATTTAAACTTACGTAATTTATTATGTATTGAGCTTTTGGGAATATGAAAGTCCAGAACTCTGGAATAATCCTTAAAATGTCAAGTGTCATTGACGTATTACGTGCTATCAAAAATGTGTCAAAATGTAATACATTTTTATCTAATATCAATTATATTTTATGCCATTTCAGTTGCCGTGCGCTTTAAAAATAAAGATTGTAGCCATGTAATTGCTTATTCATTGCACAATATCATTCATCAAAACATCACATCTTAATACCGAGAAGTTGAATACAAATATAATAAGATT